AGCAACAATCACCGTTGCACTCATTTTAATAATTCGGCAAGACGGAAAACCCGCAAAAAACGTGAACGGACTTATACGTGTCACAATCAAAATGCTTGGTTACTAGGTAACCTAGTTATGACAGTATAGATATCAACTGGAGATTTCACGCAGCCATTTGTCACGCAATTCATAATGAACCATGGATTTTTTGGACATTTTGTGAAGAAAAAAAACACTTGATCTGTGCCTTTATTGTGGTTTCTCGTACGGTCGTGTACACTCTTCTCAACGAATTCAATTCTTTGTTGAATGAATGTTGACTCAGGTTCTCAGTGCGTAACAATGGAATTGGACTGGATGGGAATAGGATTGCATGGAACATAATAGAAATACGCAGCGACGCCATTTTGTACAGCAAAGCATTATGGTTGTTGAGTTCTAGTTTTGGGCTTCCTTTGGTGGGAACTAGCGGTAAACTAGTGTGAGCTGCGTCAGTGTTTCTAAAGAAACAGTTGTGTAAAAAGATAAAATAAACACCGTAAAAAAGTAGGTGAAGTAACTTACTGACGTTTCGGACGTTAATCCTTCGTCGGAGTAAAAGTCAAAAGTCACTTGGGCTTCCTTTGCCCAATCTATGCCCATATAAGAAAATAAACAAGATATGGCCGACTGCTGTTTCGCTATAATAACTGCACGTTTTAGACGATTTAAAGCTTAAAGAACACAGAAACTCGCGAAAAAAAAAGTCCACAAGTACTTCAGAATACGATAAGATTACCAGATAWGTCTTCTAAATGCATGAATGAAAACTTTTTTAGCGGCAATTAATTCTTTAGTATGTATACCGTAGTAGACAACTTCATGATAAGTTTTTAGGTGTCCATCATGAAAATGTGTTATATGTTGTAAATTTGATGTAAATATCATGTAAGTGTCCAAAATGATGTAAATTTGATGATGCTTAAATTTGATGTAAATTTACATCATTTTGAACACTTACATAATATTTACATCAAATTTACAACCTTTAAAGTGCGCGATTTTTTCTAGTGCCCCCTGCTCCGCGGCCCATGAGACTTCTCAGATTCTCAGGGTTCATTTAATAGGTTTATGCCACATTTTGTTGTCGTTCTTGTTCTTGGTTGTCGTTCTTGGTTTTGGTGTCGTCTTTAATAGCCATTTCATTCATCACAACTGAAAAAATATAAAACAAAGAAAATTAGTCGCGCGCGCAATTGTTTTGGTGGGAAAACGGAAGACTGCGTCAAATCAGAAAATACGATCTGCTGCAAAAAGTGGAAATTTTACACGAAAATAACACTACACAAGACGACTAATTTATCACACTGGGTTAACAGATTTTGGTAAGCAAAATTAAAATTACGTTTACATAAGTCGACGGGAGACAAAACGCCGCGAAGACTATTGCTGTTCGCGGAGTTTGCCGTCGATGCATGATTCTCGTTTTGTCTAAAAGCAATGCCAACGTGAACTTGTCGCTCCGCAAAAAGAAACCACTGGGGACGTGAAAAAACAAACAACAAAAACAGAAATACTACGCTGATGAACAACAGCAACGTTCCGCAACAAGCTAATAGTTTTTATATCTCGTATTTCTACAACTTTACTTATAAAAATGTTCTTCTACCACTTCCTAAAGTTCTCAGCGTAACGCATATCAATGGAAAAAATCGCGCGCTTTAAAGGTTGTAAATTTGATGTAAATATGATGTAAGTGTCCAAAATTCTGTAAATTTGATGTCAATGATTTTTTTTACCAGAGTTAGTTAGTAAAGGGGAACAGTCTACTAACTCTGATATTACTAAAAATGCATAAAGAAGCCTACTTTGAGATAAAAAATACATATTTTTTTACACCGGGAATCGACAAGGTTAGTAAAGCTGCTTTTCGTGTATTTACAATCTATAAAATCACCTTCGTCGCCGACAACTTCACGGGTTGGCATTCCTCTTATTTCTGGTAAAATTATACAACTAAAAGCAGCGAGGAATGCGCCAGCTCCCATTAAAGTAAAGGGTAGAATAGCACTGATACGAGACATTTGGACCACAAACGGCGACGCTGCAGCTCCTATACGGCTAGTTATGATCAGCAAACCCATGCCTGTGTTCCTGTTAAAAAGAAAACTTTCTAACTGCTTGATAAAAGCAAGGTCAGTCTAACATGCCTGAAAGACGCAAATGAGATGGGAAAGAAAGATAATAGAAAAGGAAGGAAGGAAAATGATAAAAAGAATAGAAACATGCAAAAAATGTTGGAAGGAAATATGATAATTTAAAAAACTTAAATCCAATTCTATAGTACTGAATTTAAAGCTGCTTTTGCAAATTAGAGTACCTCCTAGTACAATTCAAATCTATCTCAAATCGACCAGTTCCATTGTCGACTCCCATAAAATAGGTTTATGCATGAAAAAAGAAAATGACATCATACCTGACAACAGTTGGAAAGATTTCTGCGGACCAGATATATATAGTATTGAAGGAAACAATGATGAACAGCTTGCCAAGAGAACCCAACGTCACTCGACCAACTATAAATCCTGAAGAAATGAAATTCTATAAACTGTACTATATCAGGAGTCCATTGGGCTCCTGACTACATCCCCGCAGACCTTTTTCAACACAGAAACCCCATTAATGAATAATTGCTAAAAAAATATTTTTCATAATCGTTTACTTTTATTTCATTTTAATGAAGGCTTAAAAGCCTTACTAAGCCTTCCTATATAAAAATAACATTTATAATGTTAAAAAAGCTTCAACAAAATAAGTAAACCCATTGCTTGGGCTCCCTGTGCATTCAAAGCACATTGCTAGAGGCAATGGATTGGTACGAGTCGTAAATCGACGTCACTCAATCAAATACCTGTATTGTCCGTTCCTGAAGGTATAAAAGACACAGCAATGCAACAAATGGCGCCAGCTATAAAGTGACCAATCACTGTCTTCTTTCGACCAAACCTGTGGACGTAACATATCAATGCATCAAATCACTGTAAACCATCCTCCATAGCCTAGTACAATATGTAAAAGTATTGCAATATAAATACCACTATTAATAGACCTCTGAATATTCTACATCACCTATGTACAATGCATTGTGGGATTGATTTCTGGAGAAAAACCGAAAGAGAAATCCGCCATGTTGTGTCCCAAACATATCCCACAATTCATTGCGTATACGGTATATGACGTAAAAGATTCATAAGGTCTATTAAGCTAACTCTTGGCTTGGAAACAAATTACCTCAATTAGGATTCCAACCTAGAGTCCCCGACTTTGTGCTGCCGGCGCTCTACTACAGATCAACAGATCGCGAACTGGGAGCAAGCCGTGATTCTCATTCTATTCGTGAARGAACTAAGGTGATTAAGGCATATTAGTAGGCATATTAGTGGAAGTGACTTGATTCTGAGCTGAAGAATTAAGGTTAACAAAAATCACATTAACACCTTACCGATTTGAGTTGTCGATGACCAGGTAATTTCCTGGAATCCCTACAAGACTTGTCACCACAAAGTTCAAGTAAATACTCCCTCCTAATTCACCAGAACTTAACGATACACCATAATATACCATACCATTTATAAACCTAACGAAGRGACACAACACAAAGTCGTTGAACAAAAAAATAGATAGTCAGATTATCCAGCAGTACTGCTGGATATTATAGATATTTATTGTTTGTCTGTTTGCATGTTTTGGTATGTCGGTTTGCTCCCGGTATGTCGGTACTCGACCCCATTTTGGATAGGTACGTGCCGCCAGCGGTCTAAATCCCTGACCCTGTTTAAGACACTAGAAAGTGAAAATCCATACCCTGTTCAAGACAAATCGGAAAAATAAGGNAATGTATACATACCACGCATAGCACTGTACAAGAGTCATCAATGCCATTTTTCTGCCGCGAAAAAGCTCCAAGAAACCTTTAGAGTCATGAGATGCTGGGACCGCAAGGTCGTCTGTTGGCATTTCTTTCTTATTAACTTTAGCCACATTTGTAAGAATATTTAGAGCTTGTTCCTTTTTACCATGAACGAGAAGCCAACGAACAGACTCGGGAACAAACCTAGAAAATTGATAGCGATTGCTGGAATCACTGTAGTTCATAGTCATACTATTTTGTGGCTGCTACTGCTGCTCCTGCTCGATCCTGCTCGCTACTGCTAATGTTAATACTGCTAGAGCAGATTTCGTATATGACTGTGCAAAAGTACGGATCACAATACGGACACGGCACGGCACGGTCATGGAACCTCGCCTTCTAGGATTTCAAATGAAAGTAAAGATTTTACAATGCATCACGGCTACGGCACGGTACGGACACAGCACGAACGTACCGTTTTTTTTTGCACAGTCATACGAAATCCGCTCTACTGCTGCTGCTGCTACTGACTGCTAATTCTGTTGCTGCTACTACTATTGCTGCTACTACCACTGCTTCTACCGTTCGTTTCAAAAAATGAGTGTTGTTTTGAAATGAGTGCTTGTTTTTGATTGGTCGGATTAGACATCCAAGCTTTTAAATCTCAGTTGAGGTGCCAATGATAATTTTTATTTCTTGCTTCCTTGAAGGCCAAGAAAATTTATAAAAGCTACATGTCAACCTCTCAATAGCCTGAAATCAAAACTATTTCATGCAAAACGAAATTAAGACAAGGCTCGCAAAGCATCAAGCTCACCTTATTCTGTAGTTCCGTTTAAAAACTGACAAGCATGACGAACTTGCGAAAGAAAGGGAAAAGCAAGGGAACCAAAGCTCTCCTTACCCCTCCCTCCCCTCGTATTAGCGCCGTCTTTTAAAATTACCATATAAACTTGACATGCTGCAGTCCAGTTTACTTAAAATGAGAGACGAACTTGCCRCCTAATAAATCAGCGAAACTGCTGCTAACTAGCGATCACAACCAAGACAGCAACCAAGATATCCCACCTCAGAACTGTAAATCTAAACCTAATCTTACGTTAAATTTCTAAGATTTCTGAGACCGTTGAACGTGTGTGTTGAAAAGCAGAAGAAAAATACAGCATTAAAGTGTGCTATTGAATTTATGTCCCTAACTTAATGGCGGGAGTTATGCTCAATCATCTCTTTCGGTATTTTAACCATTACCGGGCAGGGTATTCGTAATAGCGGGGTGCCCGTAATAGCGAGGCGTCTATTGGACGAACCTGAGTGTGGCCTTCGATATGTTACTACTAGTGATAGTGTTTAGCTCTTGGAATCCATGCATGACCATTTAGACCCACCTATCAATCAAATGACCGAAAACTCGCAAAAACAAGAAAACTCTTTGGCTGAACACTAACTCATTTGATTTGGGCTAAACTAGTGTGCGGTTGACTTCA